AACAATGATAAATATATGGGCTTGCATGCTTGCCTATATGTATGGTATGTACCTCTTCAACTGGTTCAGTCATGATTTGGCTGTAAGCATGGGGAATATGGTAAATAACAGCTTTTCACAGAAAAGCAAATGCCTTCATGTACTTTACAATAACACGAGACCACAAAACAACAAAGTCTTCTTTTAGATGCAGCATGTCCTCTTTAGATGAGAGAAAAGCAGAAATCAGAACATCATCTAATGTTTTTTCATGCACATCTGGAAGATGACTGCAAGACACTTGGTCTTTAAAAGCGACAAGATTAAACCAGTGAAAAGACTTATTCTTATTTTCACTGTCCATGTGTCGAACTTTTACATTAAGATCCAGATTATCTCCTATTATTTGATAGGAAGGGATTTCATGCTTTGATTCTGTACAGCAAACCAGTGCATCAAGTATGCTTGCTTCATTAGTTCCTTGCAGGGAAATGTCCTCCAGACACTGAATGGTTACATCCTTTTCCACTCCTCTGTACTGCAACACTAACCATGTGCCATCCAGTACTGATTTTGAGCTAAAATTACAGCATAAATTCAAACCGCTCAGATCCAGTGTGCCACAATCCTCACTGTTGCCACAGATTTCAGATGCACTAGAGTTGGCTGTGGGCTGCTTCAGTTGTGAGAGAAACTCTTTCACACCATTAGTATTAGGAAGATGAGGGAGAAAGGACAGCCGTTGGAGATGATCCTTAATCACTCTGAAGCAGTTTTGTTTGGCCACCTCTAATTCACACTTGCCTTTCCACAGCTGGACCGATTTGTCACAGTCATTACCAAGGGTATTGGCTTTCATGGTTAAAGATGCTGGAGACATTACCAACGCATGCTTGAATAGAGTTTCCAACCCCTTAAATAAAGAGATTACAAGTAAACTGAATTATGTAATTTTCAGAGAGGTCTTAAAACTCTTAACTTACTTTAGTGTTAAGTAGGGCTATTCTAATTGAAATATATGTTTGGTATGAACAATATTTACAGCTTAAAAATTAATGGAGCTAAAATATCAACCCAACAGTGGTCTTCATTAATGGTAGGTTAAGGCCAAGAGGAAATAAAAAATGTATATATATTGTGGTTCAATACATATGTTTTGAGCATGCGATTTGAAAAGATTGTCATTGTATCTGTTATCTACAAGTCTGTCCACTGTCTTATCTCAGGTTAATAACCACGATCTATAATGACTGAAAGTGCAATCCACAATAATGTTTGCATGGTATGTGATTATTTTACCATACAATGAGAGTTATTTATACAGTTCTTTTAGCACAAAATTCAGATAAAAAATGTTATCCCTACCAAAGTTCCTGCACCTGCGTGACGCAAAATTAGGCCCAGTCTGTAAGGCAATGCAGACATCTCAGGACATCGTGAATGCAGAATTACAGTGGCCACCGTTGGAACAACCACCTCATCAGCTCTGACTTGACTTTTACTCTTAGATCGTTTTGACTTGCAAATATTTGACAGAAGTTTTGTCAACATTAGTGCTTTGAGACAAAGTTCTCCTTTTAAGTTCTCTAACTTTAGCTCAACAAGATCAGCGGGAGAGATGTGACGTAAAATGCTGGCATTTTCCGTCTTGCAAAGGCCTTGACATTCAGCATCAATTAATTTGAAAACAGCTTCAGTCAGCTGACATGCAAGTTCTTCATTTTTCATTGCAGTGTTGAAGGCTGTCTTGTTCATTCCAAGGACCAAATACTCAATGATATGTGCAATATCACAGTCTTCAAGCACTTTCTTCTGTTTTCCAAAAGGATAATTGATGTGTACCTTGCAAAAAGAAGATACTGACAACATCATTCAAAGGCCACAGTCATACTTCAGCGCTTTATATTTAGGGCCACTTAAAATATAACTATTGTGCCTCGAAAAAAACTGTGGGAACACGAGCACTGCTCGTTCTCCCTAACGTCCACTCGTGTTTCTATAAAATGCCATCGAATTGTGTCACAAATATATGTCAACATAAAACCAACTATAGCAGAAAAATATGACTTAACACTGAAAATTTCTGACACAGTATACTCTAAGGAAATTGTGAGCTCTTCGTTCTTATACTTACTTCGACAAAAAAATCATCCCTTCGTGAATCTCTCGTGGCTGTGGTCTTTAAATTTTGATTTTTTTTCAGGAGTTACCATGCAGTCGTCATTTTGTAAAGGTCTCTTTAGAGAAGACGAGGGAGCGCGTTGATGGTTGTATTCCTTAATACAAAAAAAGAAAAAAAAAGTGTCAAAATGCCGCCTTTCTACATTATTTTGGTCGAGCTCCTTTCTATTAAAAACGTAACTTACCTCTAAGAAGAGTCGAATGCTGAATTAGGTCCACTTTCACGGTTTTCTTGCGGATTCTTGTCTTGCGGATTTTCGTCGTTTAAAGAAGATACTGGCATCAAGATTGAATCTGAATCTTCAATTCCACTTGCAAACAGCTTTTCACATAGCACTTTTGAACGTTTTCTTGGAGCAGACGATAGGGTATTTTTGCAAGCCTTTTGACGAAAGACTCATTGGCAGTTGCTGATGGTACATCTGTTTTCAGAGTCGATCCTGTCGGATTGTTTTGGTTATATTTCCCTCTAAAGCTTTCCAGTTCTAAGTTTAACACAGACGACTTTTTGTCCAAAGACTCCACACGTCTGAAGCAGGATTTACAGATTCGACAAGATTGCCTTTCGACATCGATCGTTTGGAGGATTAATTATAGGAGATCTTCTTAGCCATCTTGGCTCAGTAAATTGTAGGTACTTCTCGCGCCGTACAAATTTATCCCACAACAGAGGCAGCACGAGTCCTTTTCATTTTTTACCTGAACTCTTCTTATTCCAATTTTAGTTGGAGTTTGAGGCGAACAGGAACTAGGGGAAGAACGCAAAACTTTCGACTTTTTCTCAGGCGTCTTACACGACGGTCACCTCAAAACGCAGACCATGCAGACTGCAGACCATGCAGACTGCAGACCATGCAGACTGCAGACCATGCAGACCGTGCAGACCATGCAGACTGTGCAGACTGAGTACTTTTTTTCTAACACTTGACTCACTTTTGTCGCTTCTAGTGACAAAATAGTGTTCAATATGTCCTAGTGTTTGTTATTTATCTACAGGCGGCACAAACTCAACATCTGACTGTTGATTCACGCGTTTAATAGACTTTCTATGGGGAATTTCCTTTACTGGTCCTAAATGTACTAAAATCAAGCATAAAAATAAACTTCCATGCATTCTGTGCGCAAATTGCGTCAATTTTTGACGGGTTTCTGGTTTTATTTATTTTGTCTAATTTGTTGTTGTTGTGGTGGTTTTTTTTC